ATATATATATATATATATATATTTATATATATAAATTATAATTGGCAATGATTAGTCAGTCCATTTTCTTTCGTATAATAACTATATATGTATATATATTGATTGCATGAAGAAAATGTAGTAATTAATCATTGTTTCACATGAAATGGAGGAAACAAATTCACGTTCACACGGTTGAGATGATGACTCCCGGTCATTAACAAATCTTCAACGTTATTCAATGTTAATTCGAGAATTGAACACAGTGCAGCCTCCGCGTGCACGCACTTCTAAATTCCGCTGATGATCTTGGAGCGTACACGATTTATACACCCAACTGCGTCACGGCAAATGTACTTCGTCTCGGCTTCTTAAGTATTGCCTAAGTAAATCGACGTCGATTAATCAGAAATGACAGGAGGACTAGCCGGCTGCCCAGCGGGCATAGTTCCTCGCCGGTTTCGTAATTAGAGGCGCTAATTTCGCATACCTGCGCGTAGTCCGACCGACGTAATTTCTGGATTTATCGCCATTATTTTTCTTGAAGGCGCGTCTCCTGTTTGAGAGAGAGACAGAAAGTACACGTGAGATTCCGGGCTGTCCGATTTAATTCGCCAGGACTACTTCGTCGCCGCACGTTCGCATTACAGACGGTTAAACATAATAATTCGCAGGATTTCTTTATTCAATTTCTTTGAAATTCCCTCGAATAAGTCACATTCGCGAGTCGTCTCCGCGATCGACTATAAGTGTCTTCTGTCAATTATAACTGCCAATTTTTATTTATCGCCGCCGTAATTTGCATCGAGAAATTCTTTAATTGAATCAAGTCCATTGAACGATGAGAGAACTCCTCCAAGTTCCTGCAGAAAAAGTCTATACGTGAATATTTAACCTGCCAATCAGCGAGTTTATCTTGATTCTTTTTCAAATATATCATAATTAAATCAACGAATAGAAAAGAGATAAAACTTAATTTGAAAATCACGAAAATTATAATCTTGCCACTTTTGATCTCCATCATTATTTTTATTAGAATTTATAGCTTCGTCACGTTCGCTATGAATAAATTTCACAATTCGTAAAGCGAATAATTTTCTCAGGATCTAAAATTTATCAATTGGAAGTATCGATTGGCTGATTGATTGATAAAGATACGTAATTTGTATTCGACGACGATGAATTATACTGCATCAAGAAACCTTGACAAATCTAATCGCTCATTCTATCGCATAATAATATGTAGCGAAAATCGGGGTTCACATAAAGTCAAAAATTTATCTACAAGAATTTATACTAATAAATTATTTATAAGTGTTGGCCTTATTCTCTTAAACTTATGTGAACAATATTTTAAGAAAGAAAAAAAACTTTTTGCTTTAATATTCTTATCTCCGAAAAGTTCCACTTATTCTTATATATTTTAAATTATTTTAATTATTCTTATTTTAAATTCGATTACAGAATTAATAATGATTCGTACATGAATAAATTAGAGTCATTGCAATGTACTTTCGCAAAAAAAAGTTGAGTAATCTAACGAAAACGTAGGAAATGCATAATTACTATTTAATAATTTATACGAGGTTGATAATTTATATTAATATTAGGTACATTAATTAATATAATTTTTATTTCTTTAATTTATATTAGGTTGATGATATAAACCAGGTCTACTTGGTAAAACTTATAATTTTAAAACAAGTCAATTAGTTTTTCTCTTTTAAATTCAAAATTGGTGATTAATGCAATCGATGTTATTGCAGTAAGTGTTAAATAGTTTTATGACTTACAATTTGTAATCCGCAATATATTAGTGCTATTTTATATATATTGTACAAATATTTCTTTGGAGCACACATAATAATGTATTTTTATATCATATACAAAGTATCGAACTTATTTTGAAATTCTTTTTTATTTTATCTATAATATATAAATGCAAGATTGACAAATATTTCAAATTACAAATCCCTATCAATTGCTTCAATGTATTTGCCTAATTAATTATTGATTTCATATTTAATTTTGATTTTTTTAAGGAAAATTATATATATTTTTTGAAGAAAAATTTTTATCAACTATTTTTAGGGATATTTTTTTATTAATAAATACTTCCTCTCTTGCGTTTTTTCTAATTGTCTTCGCGCCCCTCATATTTCCCGTTTGCTAGTCGTGCTAAAGAAACGAAAAAAAATTACGCGCAGCAGACTATCGCGTTACGTGAACTATGCGCGAACTTGACACCGGCAAGGACGTGTTTCGAAAGGAGGAAATAAAAAAATAGCAGCTCCAACCCGTTAAAGGACGCGCCAAGTCAGCCGTTGAAGCCTCGAGCGAGACCGTCGATCGATTACCAAATAAATCACGATCCACGACAACCGTAAAGCGATCGTTAACCAAACTCTCCTCTAGCAAGCTTAGATTATCACTCTTCTCGCTTCTGTTAAATAGCATACATAAGCATAAAACATGAAAATTAAATCCTATAGCACGAAAATTTCAAAATTTTCTATTTAAGAAATTTAAATAAAAATCTATATTTTAAAAATTTATAATTGAAATGTGTACATGTGTACTTGATCCATCTTATACAATGCAAATGTATGAAATATTCATTCCATATTTCATAATTCATCTAATGCATAACTTTTTTTCACTTTTTCTTTAAAATTTTTCATTAAAATTTAAGGATGTATTGGAAATATATTACAATCAATGAGATCGCCGTACATTTTTAATTTAACATTCTTAATAACATTCTAAATTGTTATGAATTATTTCGAATTTTTTTACTTGCTCCTTTAAAAGTTATAAATTTTTTAATTTTGCGATTTAACATAGGATTTTATGTAAACGTTCAAGAGACAGGTAATAAATTATTCACAAACTATAAAAGAAAAATGATAAAAAATTTCATTTTGTAATATTATATTCTTCATACATGTAAAAATGTTCCCACAAAGTTTTAAAACGATTTACTTGCTCGTTTTGAAATTATTATTAAAAAATAACTGTGATTATCGGTTTGACGCAATATTGATGATAAAACGTGACAACATTTTCTTGGAAATTAAGACCTATTTATATTAAAGAATACTTTGAAGTATGATTTCGTGATTTTTAAAAAATTTTTCATTCAATTAGAATTCATATTCTGCCCGATTTTAATTTTTTGATATTTTGGATTAACTTTTGAGACAGACAGTCCGTCCAATACATCCTTAAATATCAGTTCTTAAAGAAAAAGTGAAAAAAAATTATTCGTTAATTTTGTCCGGAAAATATAGTTTGGAATTTTTGTCTACTCGACTCGCAGGGCATTCGACAATTTTTCAGCTAGAAATAACGAATCTTTCATCGAACGGGGTAACGAGAGTTAATCATTCTTTGAGCTCTTGTCGCGCGAAGGGCCCAAGAACCGCCCTAGATCCTCAGACGTAGCGACACAACGATCTCAGAAGAGAACCTGCTGTTTTACGTAATAACACTCGGTCGAACGGAACAACGACGCCGAGAAACTAGCTCCTCTGTTCCCGTCTCTCTCTTCGCGTGTTCAGAATCGTTTCTTCGACTCGGACACGTCATTCTGGTGCGATACCTTCGTTCACAGCGGCGTCAAAAGACAATTCACTGCCCTTTCCACGAAGCCAAATACCCGCACGATCCTTCGGGACAGCACGAATCTCGTGATCGGCGTTATTGTTCGGTAATGATGCGCGCCTTATTATGGATGAATGAGACCTTTTAAGCATTAATGACCCACCGTAGACGGAACAAAAATTTTCAAAAAAAAATGCAGAAATTAGAGATCGAAAATAGCGCGGAGGGTACTGATTATCCCTGAGATGTAGGAGCTCTAAAGGGCTGTACTGAATTATAGCGTGACTTATGTCACGTCCGATCGATTAATGGCATTTATAATAAGCTGAGATATTCGGAAATGGTATTATACTTTGACATTACTACAATTGAGATTACTACTTAAAGCAAAAATTCAATTATTCCATGCATAATAATTATCGCAGTTGTCAATAAAATATCTTGCAATAAAGTGGCAATTAAACATAAAACAATTTCGTCGTAATTGCATAATTAATATATTGAAATATTCATGATTTGATTCATATTATGCGCAAGATAATATAAGCCACAAGCGTTTCACTCCAAAATAGATATCAAAAAGGATAGGCGTTAATAATCGTCGATCGTGACGACTGCTTATCCTGTTCTTCGCTCCTGACGTGAAAAAAAATATTAAAAAAAAAAAGAAAGAAAGAAAAAAGAAAAAGAAAAAAAAAGAATTAAATGAGATTGGAGAAACTAGAAACTAGCATGATGTGAGAGGAATGAGATGGAGAAAAAAGGAGGATAAAGGAAGAGATAAAACGAAACGCGGAGAGGCAAGACGAAGGAAGGAGAGAGCGCGAGAATATTAGAGCACGTGGAGAGGGGGAAAGGGGGAAGGGGAAGACTCTATGCGGTACCCGAAGCCAGTCGGTCGGATATGCCCCGAGGCCGTGATAGACAAGGTCAGCCTCTCCCAGCCTCATATATGTATATGCTCCTGCTACTGGCAGCGTGTGCTCTCTGCTCTCTTTTACGTTTATTTATTTATTTATAAATATACCGCACGCGGTGCGCGCTCTTTTCTGCGGCTAACGTGCCGTGGAAGTGGATGCCGGTGATGGTTGCCAACCGAATCTCATCCTCGTCGGTTTCATTCCGTCGAACATTGTCGCGAAAGATACGCGAGACGAATGTCTATCGAGTCCGAAGTGCGCGATATTCTCGCGACTACTGTCACGTTCACGTAGGAAGTCGTTAATTTGCATTTTAGATCGGGAAACATTAAGTTTTCTGCAATGGCGGAGTTCCTGAAACTGATTACGACTCGTCTCTTCGTCTCTCGTTCGGCCATATTCTCGCTATTTGTATTTCTCTTTCTATTTTCCTCTGTCTTTCCTTCTCTCTCTCTCTCTCTATCTCTCTGACATCAAAGTATTCTTTTCTTTTTACAGATATTCGGTAGCAAGGCGGACCTGCAGCTCCATACGCAGATCCATATGCGCGAGGCGAAGCCGTACAAGTGTACGCAGTGCTCGAAGGCGTTCGCCAACTCCTCGTACCTGTCACAGCATACGAGGATCCACCTGGGCATTAAGCCGTACCGTTGCGAGATCTGCCAACGGAAGTTCACCCAGCTGAGTCACCTACAGCAGCACATTCGCACGCACACCGGCGACAAGCCGTACAAGTGCCGGCATCCGGGCTGCACGAAAGCGTTCAGCCAATTGAGCAATCTACAGAGCCACTCGCGATGCCACCAAACCGACAAGCCGTACAAGTGTAACTCCTGCTACAAGTGCTTCTCCGACGAGCCGAGCCTGCTCGAGCACATACCGAAGCACAAGGAGTCGAAGCACCTGAAAACGCACATCTGCCAGTACTGCGGCAAAAGTTATACCCAGGAGACCTATTTAGCGAAGCATATGCAGAAGCACGCGGAGAGAACGGACAAGAGACCGCCGATCATCGGGACGGGCCTCAGGCCGTCGATACACGCGATGGCCACTCATCATCAGGACCACTATTGGCCCAAGGTAAGCCCGGATTCGGTGATCGGTGACCTGCACGAGAGGCTGCCGCACCATCACGCGGAGTATCATCAGAACCAGAATCCGGAGATGCTGCTGCCGGGACACGGGCATCGCACGGGCGAGCCCATCGAGAATGACTCGAGGCAACAGACGCCCCAGCCTGGCGCGAATCACCATCCCAACAGTAGTTCGGCCTTCACGCCGATCTCGTCGATCTCGATCAACTCGATCTCCTCGATGCAGCACCCGTTGAATCCGCTGAATCATCTGCACTATCCCGGCAGTCATCACCCGGCATCACGGCCGTATCTCTACGAGGCGTTCAACACGACGCAGAAGTCGTCGCCCACGTCCTCGTCCGCCGGCGTGACGCCCGGCACCACCAGCAACCAAAACGCCACGTCTTTCCCGAATCAGCTCATCAGTCTCCACCAGATCAGAAATTACGCTCATCAGCCGAATCTCGGCAATCTGGGCAACCTGGGGAATCTGGGGAACTTGAGCAATCTCAGCAATCTCAGTGCCACGATGGAGAGCCACGCGCTGCTGGGCGGTCTCAAAGAGAAGCAGTAACTCTAGCTGGTCTTGGGGATTAACTTCGGGAAGCACTCGCGGGCTCTCTTCATCACGGTTCTTTTAGTCTTTCTCTTCTACTTTCCATGACACGGCACGTTGTGAGCTTGAGCTCTCTCGCTTCATCCGGCTCGATCGTCTTCTCCTCTCCGTGATCTCTTTATACCCGTCTAATTTATTTTTTACGCTGGTGTATACGCAAATCCCACGCAAATGACTCCGAAACGTAACTTTCCTTTCAAACGTTTGACTTCGGTGTTTAATTACATTTTGCATTCGTATTGCATAGGTATGTATGCCTGTAAGAACAATAGCGCGTCTCATCGTAATCTTTTAATAGATTTCCCAGACAGCACAAAAAGGCCAAAAGATGTCTTAAAGATGTCTAAAGGACTTTAAGACATCTTTAAGTCGTCTTTTAGATGTCTTTTGGACATGTGTGCTATCTGGGTTAATGCTTACGATGATAATCGTTGCCAGAAAATGGATAAGAGGTGTACGAGATGTATGCTCGTACGGTCGAAATCATTTTCGACAACCCGTACAAGACTATCCGCTGTCTTTCCTTTCTCTTCCTCTTTTTTTATCTTCTTTCCTTTTTTTTAACGTCTTATCTATAAGTCTTTCGATTTCGCGGGTGTAACTCGTGTTAAAATGGCGCTTACGCGTTACGTGTTATTATCTATTGTATAAAATATACGTATGTTTTATTGAAACACAGATGAGCACAATGATCTAATTTAAGAATGAATTATTACACGCAGAACAAAAAGAAACAAATTTATTTAGATTAAAAACTATTCTTTTAGTTTGATTGCCAATTAATGCCGCGCTCTCCAATTAGTAATCGATTTGTGAAATCGCGGTGACGATTATAAAATTAATTCCGATGAAAGTTTTCAACGTAAAAATTGTTTTCTGTATTTTCTTTTCCGTAATTACATCTTGGTACCCCGATTGTTAATGAAATTGGAAGCACATTTATAAGATATTTACAGTGACGGTTCACGATACAGTTAACCAAAGCTCTAAATCACACATGCATACGTTACTCGCGTTTGTAACATGATGGAAACCTCGACGGTTACATTCCTTAATGTAATAAGACTGACGTGATGTAGTTTAAAAAAAGAACTATATCTTTGCATACTGGTCTAATTATTAATAATCGATATGATCTACTGTCGATCGTCAAGAACCGTTTCGTTGTCTCCCGCGATTAAAAATTCAATTTCTACGCCCGTTGAGAATAAAATCGATATTTACCGGACTCTCTCAGATTATCTACGCTTCTCGGCGTGCTAACGTCCTCGCCAATGATCATGCGTGCCAATTACGAGCTAGAAAGTTCTATCAATACGCATTCGTCGCGATATAATCCGTACGATCTGACGACGTTTGAATGATAAAGTGGAGCACGATCATGGATTAACTCGTATTCGAACGGTAGACGATATACTTTCATAATGCTAGAAAGTATACGATACGCCGGTGAGATGAATGAACTGATTTCTTCCTCAGTTTATCGTGAAAAATCTTAGTTGTGAACGGAGACCGAGATCATTTTTCATTGATAAAAAATGTTCAAATGATTTATATTTTTATATAGTTATATATACATATATATATATATATATATATATATATATATATAATAGAAAAAAAATGTGTGTTTTTCAATAAATTCATTCTCTAAACGAAATTTGGAATCCGGCGATGTTGACTTTTTCGACACACACCCCTTTATTTCTTATCATTCTTATGAAATTACTTTGGACGATCGAGATTTCAACTGGAATTATTTTTTACATTGTTCCCACAAACTCGAGGAATGTTTTATGTTTAATTAATTAATATATTTCAAGTTCTAAGATATTAATTATGCAGTTTTCTTTTACTCTTGTGTTTTACGTATCTTTCTCCGTTTTATGTTTTTTGTATTATATATATATATATATATATATATATATATATATATATTAAAGAAAGCACTATATTATAATTTCATCAAGAATATAGTTTACATAAAAATTTAATTTCTCGTAATGTTTGTGTATACGAGTTTTAATTATTTTAAGAAATTTTCGCGATTTACATGCAAATCACATCCCTTGACAGACAAATAAATGTGAAACGTATGACATAAGTGGATTGATAAATAAGAAAATTAAATATACGCTAAACACACAAAGAATACATCGTATAAAGTACGTCGTAACGTGTCCGCGGATGAAAACAGATAGGGTAAACGTACGAAAAACGAACGGAAAATTCATTTTAGAACATTCGTAAAATTTATGCAGGAATACCAATGGTAACAAAGACATAAGGAAAAGAAGAAAACTGTAGCGCGAAGCGCATAGAGAGAGAGACTGGAATATAAAAAGAGTTATACAAAAAGGAATGTATAGAAGTATATATGGGCACACATACAAAAAAAAAGTATAAAAGCATCACGCACATTCTGTAAGAGAGCCGCACGGAGACCTCTTGTAAATAGGTGCTATATAAATAAATAAATATATGCATATATTAATAATTGAATAAATATATGCATATATGCGTATATACAAATACATAAGTAAAGAAATAATTATTATTATCGTCACATCGAGACATCGTCTTTATTAGCATCATTATATCGTCATCTCTTTATGATTATTATATTATTTTTATTTACATTATTATTACTATTATTATTATTATTATTAATTATTAATTATTATTATTATTATTATTATTATTATTATTATTATATTATTATTATTATTATTTGATTAATATTTTGATCGATCATTTAGTAGGTGTGTAAAATACAGAGAAAGCACACGGATTTTCTAATAATGTAAAAATATTCTAAGTACCTTATTTAAGATCTAAGTAATCTTATGTAATCTGTTACATACGTGTGTGCGCGCATTGCGTGCGCGCGTGTTGAAGAGAAAGAAGAGACGAAAGGAGAAAGAGAGAGGGAAGAGGATAAACATGTATATGCGAACTATTGTAGATAATTTGTTGTTACGGTGCCAGACGTGTTTTCCTTCGGGGTTCCTGCGTAATTCACGTTTCCATTCGAGTTCTATTTGCGTTACGTTCATATTCAATGTTCAAAATTATGTTTAAACAACATCAAGTTTGATCGTTAAGTTTTGCGTTTTTTTTAATCATATACATTTTACATGCGAATTCCGCTTTTATTTTCCGCTCTACTCTGTCGACTTACGACGAAATATAACGTCGCAGTGCCAATTTATTTCCGATTATTGTGAGTCAAGATAAATCTAGCGTACCGAGATGATTCACTCGGTGGGAAACGAACCCCGTAGTAGTCATGTCCGCGCCTTACCTTATGCTCAAGTTGTTTAAAACTATTACGTTGTTATTAAGGTGATGCTAGAACAATGAATGAGAGAAGGGGCGAGGGGTAAACGTTCAAAGTTCATTTTCTTGCTGTGCGTATAGCCGGACGGCGGACCAGATTCCTTTTACAAGACGGCATGTCGACTCGCTATCTCTGGATATCTCCCAAAGCAAACGTCAAAGAACGAACAGATAGAAAAGAATACAAGTAATCGCGTGAGTGCGCACGATTATGTATATTGAAAAATGTTGGATATACATACATCTTGATTTGGGTTGACATTGGGGCGAGGAAAAATGTTTCGAGTAATAAGTGCGTAATTAATCTACACAATAAATACAGGGAAAAAGGATAGATAGATAGATAAATAGATAGATATCCGTCATTTTTTGTTGATAATGAGAAATGTAGGGAACGCGAAATAGGACGGATTCGCATGACAGCAAGGGACAGATGCAAGATAAGAGCAAAAAAAAACTCCGAAACCCCGCGCTTTAAATGTGATTTCTTCTGCCTATTCTTAGTTTCACATTGATTATATTATTATTATTATTATTAATATTTTATTATTATTATTAATATTATTATTATTATTTCGTTTAATAAACTGTCACGCGTTAAAATAAAGGCAAAGGAGAATTTCTCGACATGTAATGTTGAGTCATTTTGTTTCTCTATTTTCTCAAAACGATATGAATTTGCTTTGGCCTTTCCCTTCTCTCTCATCATACAATCGTCCCTCCTTTCATCCATTTATTTATTTTTAAAAAAGGTATTTCAACTTTATATTGGCGAATATTAATTTTTTTTGAAAAATAAGAAAAGGACATTTATTCTTCACACTCGGATTTGTAGGCTAAAGTATTGAAAGCTCACCAAGAAAACATCGAACGATACGCTGAATAAAATAATATGCAGCTTATCTATCGTGTTTAAATATTTCCATAGAGATATTAAATGTTGGAACACACGTTAGGATGATTAAGGCAAGAATTTCACATCTCAATTTAATGTGCATTAATCTGTAAGTACACACATGTTTTTTTTTAGTAACATAAACCTTGGATTACTGTAATTTATTTTTTCTGATATATTACATTTTGAAGATAATGTATTTAAATTAAAATAACACGTAAGGATTTTCTATTATTAGAAAAAAAATTATCATTGTTAAAATATATTGTTATTGGAACATATATATTATTGTTTTATGTTTCATGTATCCTCACGTATTTACAAATTACGGAACATAAGTTATATAAAAGAATAAAATAGTACAAGTGTGTCTTTATACGATTTTATTTTCAACCGCTATTCTTATTCATAATTTTTTTTTTCAGAGCGCTTTCCCTTCATATTTTTAATTCATGTAAATGGGCGTAAATTTGCTTTTTATTAAATCACCGGAGTATCCTATATCCGTTTTGTCAAAGTATTTTTTACCAAATGAGAAACTAAAATAGGATATATACATACAATTAGTTTTTAGCGGAAAAAAGATAATTATTATACGTGCGCATTGAAATAATATTCTCTTTTAGCTCTTATAAGTTATTATTCTCTTTTGCGGTAAAAAGATTAAAGAAAAGCGTTTTTTTTTCTCGCTAACCATTGCCGCGAACTCTCTCTTCTATGCGCCACTTTGTTCCCGTTGTTCGTCACTCGGATTATTTCATCCTTCGCTGACTTTGCGTCGCAATCTCCTCTGTCTCTCATTTCTTACGTTCGATTACGATAAATTTCGCGAGACACTCAAGCGCACTCGGTTATTAGCGCTCCGCGTGAGCACTTCGCGGACAAATGCCGTCCAATTCTATTCTTTCGTTGTATATAAAATACAAAAATACGGGAGATCGTCTGTCGCGACATTAATGATTAAAGGGAATTTTTCATCTATACTTCTATGAAATACCCTCTCGTGCCAGAGAACATTAGTTTCGGATGAGATGTGATAGTATTTAGGAGAAGCACTGTTTATAAAATCGCGAACGTACGCAAGTTGTAAATCGATCGACGAAGTTGTTCTTTGTCCGCGACTAGTTCCTCTGAATGACAACGATCTTTTGGGAGACGCGAAAATGAAAGGTGGTAGGATCAGTGTTTGCTGGTATCTAGATAAAATTATCTAGATAATCATCTAGATAAAGAAATGGATCATCTTTATCTTTAACTTTTAGATGAAGAAATACAAAGTATCTTTATCTTTATCTTAGATGAAAAATATATGTCATCTTATCTAAAAATTGTTTAAGATGACGTTTTCAT